GTTTTACATGGGATTTTTAAAAATAAATTAAATTAAAATCAACTTTCCAAGTTTTCAGAAAGCTTTCCACTGAATTGCACTCTGCTTTCCCTGCAGTCTTTTCCTCAGCATTACTGATTATCAAGTAACCCCCAAAACATTTGTCAGGCTTCTGGGAAGGGAAAATAAACCCCTAAAGTGTCAATTATAAAACCCCAAACTTGGACTTTGAACTTTCCCAACTGCTGCCCTACTCAAGTCACTCATTAGGGAGGAAACACAAACACTTGTCAGGTCCAGTGAAGACACCAAATTTCTGAAGGCCAGTGAGGAAGACAAAATGCTGTGAAGAACATTGAAGTGATTTATAACCCAGACCAAATTTATTTATTGCAGATTACTTTAACTAATCCTTCTCCTGGAGAAGTTATCTCTGCCTTCAGCATCGGGTGTAGATGACAGAAGTATTACCACTACACATCAAAACATTGCTATAATTTCTCTCACAGATCTATACCAGTCACAACAGGTTGCTGTGATTTTTGCAGATAAAAACCTGCAAGAAAACTGTTTTTTTTTTCTTTTTATCCAGTTGAAGTAAAAACAAGTGACAGCCAGAATGAGCAGACACTCCTGGCAATTTCAATGAGAGGCTCTTATTACAAGTCACAAGAGTAGGGGTCATCTCCTCTGAGGCCAGTACATTTAAATGCCTCCCTCTGGGTTACACCGCTTCAGTAAAATGTATTTGTATGTTTAGAACTTCAGAAAAATTAATAAAATGAGTCAGAAAACAGGGTCCCTGGGTCTTTTTGATCATAAATTTTTGCAAGTTAAAACTTCATTATTGACATTTTAGAAGAAGCCTGAATTGCAGCTGGTCTGTGTAAAAATTAAAAGACGCTTATTAGTATTTAAGGACCACACCTTGAAGAGCTGCACGTAAAATAATGTCATTTCATCACTCTGCTTTGACATTCCCAAAGAGAAGCAACATTGCTGATGGACTCAGAGCACAGGTAATTCACCAGCTTGGTCCTTCTCTGAGGTGCAGCTGCTAAAATGAGATTGTTCAACCCGGAGAAGAAAAGGTTCCAGGGAGACCTTATTGCAGCCTTTCAGTATTTGAAGGGGTCTATAAGAAACATGGGGACAAACTTTTCATCAGGGTCTGTTGTGACAGGACAAGGAGCAGCAGTTTTAAACTAAAAGGGGACTGATTTAGTTTACATATAAGGAAGAAGTGTTTTACAACAAAAGCGGTAAACTACTGGCACAGGTTGCCCAGAGAGGCAGTGGCTGTCCCATCCCTGGAAACATTCAAGGCCTGGTCTAGTGGAAGGTATCCCTGCTTATTGCAGGGGGATTGGAGTAGATGAGCTTTAAAGGTCCCTTTCAACTCGAACCATTCTATGATTCTCTGAAAAATTGCAACAGCCATTGCAACCCTGAGGTTGGACTGCAGTCCGAGTGAGGATAACAGTGGGAGAAAGCCAGGAAATTTTTGCTGGGACAGGACGCTCCCAAGAGGAAGGAGACAAGTTCTATGCTCAGGAGTCCAAATAAGAGCTGGGTATAACTTCCTGAAAACAGATTTTCAATACATTCCACTCATTTCTCCTGCTTTTGAATTGTCCACTGTCACCTCAAGTGTATTCCTTACTTGATCAATAACTGCCTTGCCAGACCAACACATGGTTCCCTGTTTCTGGGCACAGATTTATCAGGATTCCAACTTTGAGCAGCATGATGTATGCTGCTAAATACAGGAGAGATTACAAATACAGGCTTTGTATATAAACCAACATACTGTTCTCCTTTTTGAAAACAATTCAGCCAAAATTACATATATGGAAAAAAACGGAGTTACTCGGGATGATTTATTAATTGTACATAACACGCCTGTAGGCAGACTGGGAATGGAATTCAGATGGGTGGACACAGAGGAGGATTAAGGCAATAATAGCAATGCATGGTGCAACTTCTTAGTCACAAACACTCTCATCACATGAAATTATTTTCACAGATGATATTTATACCAGAGCAGGAACTGCTCCATAATTCCTCTCTTAAGCACTGCAGAAACTGAAAGGCTGGTGTGATAAAACTTTCTGCAAATCTCTTTCAAAATATCAAAATTTAACAACTAAGCACCTTACTCCTAAGTCTGGTCATATAGATGTTCAAGTGTTTTCATTAGGAAACTTGCTCCTTGCTTAAGTTCTGTCACATCAGGGCTAGATCAGCCCCTTTCCATATTAAAAAGGAAAACAAGGAAGGAGCTAGGGAAGTGTGCAAAGCTCCACAAGAGACCATTCTTGTTACCTGAAAATAAATGTCTGGTTTTGTTTTTTTTTCAAAGAGATTTAAAACTTTCTGTCCTAGGGCTTAATTTAGCTCATGATTTATGAGAACTGGGAAGAAGTGCTCTGGATTGGTCTGGCTCATCCATTAAGTGGCTGTGTTTATGCTGCATTTTCCCTGCATTGGCCATTGCTGCTGGAATAAACAGGCCACGCTCTGGGCCATCAAGGGAACTCTCGTGTTTGCTCAAGGACAAGAAAATCCTCTCTCTCAAAGGGGAAGGACCAAGCAGAGGAGCAAGGATTGGTGTGAGAGCCACAATTGCCTTGGAAAGGATTTTTAATTTGTAAATAGTGGGACATCCCAATCACATTCCCAAATGCACCATCCTGGAAGTCCTGCATTAAAGCCCCTCACCCCTCTCAGCTGGGGTAGCACCAACCTGCGAGCCTCAGAAGGGCCAGAGCAGCACAGCAAACTCCACTTCCAAACAACCTTTCTCCAACAGGAATAAGGACAGACCCAAGAGGAGTTTCATACCAGTAATTAAACCTGAAAGGAGATCCACACTCTTTGATCCTCCCCGGTTCACGTGCTGGACTGTTTCCTTGCAATTACCCTATTTTGGTGAGGCAGAGGTGGGAGAAAGGCTACAGATGCTGTCAGACAAAGAGCTGGTCTCCTTTACTGCTGCAGATGGTGGAAGCAGAATCCTCTTTCTTTTCACACTATCAATTAAGCAATGTTGCCAAACCCACATCAGCTTCTCAGTCAAACATTTCATTTCTCAGCAGTCTGTGTGAAGTTTGAAAGCTACAGTATGTTCTGCCAGCGGCCTCCAGAAAGCTGCTTTGCATTGTTTTGCTTAAATGGCTACAAAAGTGCTGTCAAAGAGACACTGTCAACTGCAGCTTTTGTGTTTATGTCTTTTTACTTAGGAAAAAAAAAAAAAGGAAAAAGAAACAAAACCTTTTGGAGTTGAAAGAACTGATTTCTGCTTGTTTTATCAGTCCTTTTTACATTCCTTTGGCAGACATTGGATTTTCCTCTCTGCTATTCACAGTGCAAGCATATTCAATATTGAATAGACCTTTTTGACAGTTTTGAACCTGTTCCATAAGATTCCAAATGCACTGATTCATGGGCACTTGCAAAGATCCTACAACATAAAAAAAAAAAGAGTCTACCCCGACTCAAGAATTGTTTTGCATCAGGATAATTTAAAACTTCTGCTCCTTCATCTGTGTGATATCTCAGAGCCAGCAAGAACACTTTCATAACTGATTTGTCTGCCTTACACACCAAGAGGGATACAACAACAAATACTCACTGTCTAAAAGTCAAGAATATCTAATTATCTAATATTATAAAGGTTCTTCTTTTGTCTTCTAACTCTAAAATGGGGGCAAAATGCTGGTCTTGGAAAGAATAAAATATGACTCTCATATTTTAATGAGTGCCAGTGAGAACCCAGCACTGAACACGTCCAAACACACAGGCTGCATTTCTGTTCTATGGTGTAGATTTTTTATTCGCTGCACACTCTCACAGTCTGAGCTTCCCAGCAGCCTGGGAATATTTTCTTCCTCGAGTATCCCCTCCACTCCCCTAATGCTGCTCCTCTGAAAACCAACACCATGGCAGCAACATTGCTCATGATATAAAACTGCTCCTGTTTTCATACTTGGGGGGTAATTCCAGCCTGATCTTCACTTTGGAGAAGCAGATGTGAATCTGTGTAAATTAATAAATGACAGTGGAGACGATCACACTAATGTGTTACGAGTCTAAATGTGGAAGCAGCTTTTCTCAGCTGCTTCCAAACGCAGCGGTGGGTACATTTTCTATTCCATGGCCAGCATAAAGGAAATAAATAAAGCAGAGATTCCCAATTTGTTGTTCACGGATCCACTGGAGTCTGTTGACTTCCAATTCCCACATAAGCAGTGTAAATCTACGGTCACTGAGCTTGGATTCAACACATAAGAGCCAGCATGTCCTACTGGAAATTTTTTTGGTAGCCCACAAAGAAAAAAAGGATGAAGCCTACTGAATGCTAAAGCACATACAAATAGAGCATTAGATCTCTCACATATGTCCTCCCAGGAAAAAAATCCCACAGAAAGCACTAGGAATTAAATCTATAGAAATGTAATACAGCTCTATGGAATTTCCTCTGAAGGCCTATAGAATTTACTACAGCAGGGAGTCCTTTTCAGAGCCCCTTTTTTCAGACAACTTGTAGAAGGATATAATTCTAATGAATGGGGTTTTTAAAAAAAAAAGTAATAGATCGACAATAATCTTCTATTAAATTATTTTCCATAGGAGTATTGACAGCAATAGCCATTAACATTATTTTATAAAACTGGAGGGATATATTGAGCAGTGGATCCATTCTGTCCTGACACAGAGAACTCGGGCGATTTATGTTGCCATTCATTGTCAGGCAAAGGGTTTTGTTCCTTTTTTTTTTTTTTAAACATCTGGTGTCCCTTGAATAATTACTTTAATTAAAATAAGAGACTATTTTATATGCTTTCCTTGACAAGAACTTTGCCTTCACGCTCTCTGGCAAATTCACTATTGCTGCTGCGTAAATACAGCAACACTTATTGGCCATTTGATACTTTCCATGGGTTTTCTGTGATTTAAGATGCAATGTTCCTCTGGGATTCCCAGCTCTTGGACTTTGTCTGAGCCTCCCCAGATCACACGGAAAGGAGAAGCTGGAACAGCAGGGTTTGGTGATGAACAAGGGCTTGGTTCCAAGGGAAGGGACAGCACAGCTCCTTGCACAGCGAGGGAAGGACAGGCAGCCAAACTGGAAAAGGAGAGGGAATCACAGAATTACGGAATCATTTGGACTGGAAAAGCACTCTCAGACCATTGAGTCCAACCATTCCCTCAGCACTGCCAAGGCCACCACTAACCCGTGTCCCCAAGTGCCACATCCATAGGCTTTTACCTCCCTCCGGGGGGGACTCCACCACTGCCCTGGGCAGCTGTGCCAGGGCTGGACAACCCTTACAGGGAAGTAATTTCCCCAAAATCCAATCTAAACCTCCCCTGGCACAACCCGAGGCAGTTTCCTCCTGTCCTGTCTCTTGTTCCCTGGGAGCAGAGCCTGACCCACACCTGGCTCCATCCTCCTGCCAAGTTTCCTTGCCCTCAGGGGTGGGTGACAAAGGAATTGGGAAGAGGTGAGGATACAGGCTCCAGGAACTCCCCCTGCCCCAGCCTTTTTCCCTTCCAGTTATGAATGATGGAGGAAAAATTGTAATGAAAACAACCTTTCACGCCTTGCAGTGCGGGGTTTTGTGAACTGATGAAAACATCCCGCAGAAAACATTGAGTATATTTGTTTTGCCTGTTTTCTCTAGATCCTCATCAGTTTTATCCTTATCGTCATCTCTAATCCTTCCCACAGTGAGGTGGCAGAGTCAGTTTTGTAAGGATCCATCAGGGAAAAGCAAAAACCTGGGAAAGAAAAGCCGTTTCTGCCTTTGATGATGCAAATATATCTGGAAAGAATTTTCTTTTTATTTTATTTCTTGTTGTTTCCACAAGTGTCCTTCATTTCATCTTCCTTTCCCTCACTTGCCTAAATATTGTCTAACTGCAGGGAAGGAAAATATTGAATTCCACCAAATTTGGGGAGTTGACTTCACAGGAGCATGAACTTGGTATTTTATTTTCTTGAAAGAAAAATGTCTGTTCTCTCCATGCTAAATCCAGGGAAGTCAGTGGCCAAAATCCTAATGCCTTACTTCCCTGGGAGCAGGATTCAGCTCAGCAGGGATGGACAGTAGCTAAGCTGCCACCTCCCATTCCCTGGAGATCTTCCCAGGGCAGCAGTAATCAAAATAATTCATTTGCAGTTCTAAGCCTTTGATGCATGACTGCTGAGAAAGAAGATTTGCAAAAGCTGTGACAAACTTACACCTCAGCTTTCAGAAAAGGAGAAAAAAAAAATCTGTTACTGGAAAATTTGCCAATTTTTTCCCTCTAGCCCTTAAGGCACAGCAATCCATTTGCCCGTATAATTATTACTTAAAGGAAAGGAGTTGGTAAAAGAAGCGTAATTTATGCAGATGAACAAGGAAACAGATGAGAAATACAGAAGAAATATTAGAAGGGAAACACAAAATAACACAGAAACATTGCTGTGAACTGCTGTCAGACCTAAATCAAAGTCAGAAAGGAACACAGATTATGCCACCGTCAGTTTTTGTTGGAGGAGGAAGAATCTTGGCAATAAAGATTATCTGATAATTACCTTTCTTAATGCATTAAATTCACTCAGCTTCACCTTCAGGCATTTAGCTGAAGAAAATAATGACACACATCCTCATGTTTAATAGTTAAACTCTATTTCCAAGAAATCTATTACATGTGGTGTCATCCAGAAACCCACGCAATAAAGCATCTTTAAAAGAAGCACTGATAGAAAAGGATGGGGTTTGGAAACATAAATAGCAGTTGTTTGCATCAAAATATTTTAATGTACAGGCTTTATTAATACTAATGAAAGTTTGATTGTCTTTCCTAATTAGCTCCCCACCCTCCTTTGTCAGGATCAGCTGCAGAACAAACCTTCTTCTGCCAGCATCTCAGGATGCATTAGACCTCGTTAAACATCATTTTTAAATGAACATTTCATTTAAAAGAGATTAATTTTTAAAGTATGCCAGCGCTTGAAAACGAATCTGTAAAATTATACAGCTGCTGAAGAAATACCTCCACCTCCTAATTCACCAGTATTTATGGACAGATAAGTCCACGTGCTGCTACTAAGGAGGTTTGGAGAGTCTGTCTGATAGTCTACTGGCTCACAAAGGGGCTTTGCCAAGTGCCCAACCCCTTTCCCATAGGATGTGCAAACCAGCCTTGGGCAGTAGAACACACATCATCTTCCTAGTCATAGAAACACGGGGAAGAATAAATTTAACCTGAGTCTGCTTTTAATCCCTTCCTACAGACGAGGATGTGTCCCTCACAGGCAGCACCTCCAAGACAAAGTCCTGGTGGTTTGACCCTGATCTCAGGGGAGCAGAGGCTCAATCCAGCACATTCCCCATGGTGGAGACTCCTTCACAGCACACTCCTTTCCCAGACCCTATCCACCACTATTTCCAAAGGAGTTACGGAGTTTCACCTTGAAATACTTTCCAGGGTGTTGTTGGAGTATTCTGGGTATCTGAATTAATCACACCAGGCAGGAACCAGAACCTTCTATGGCTCACTACCATCATTGTGGAGTCAGCATGGGACAAGGAAAATGGCCCACAGCTGCTTTGTAAATACAGAATGAAACATCATTTTTAGGTAAAGTTTGGGTAGGTTTTACAGAAACTGAGCATTTTTTTTTTAATGAACAATTTCCACTGAAAAATGGATATTTCTACATGAGAACAAGTAAGGTTTAAGTCTTCAGCATGCACACATTCATGTACTTCAAGAAGAACTTCAGAAGATGGTTCTTCCCACCTGGATGCCCTTTATCTGACGACAGGTTTCCTCTACAGTGTAAATTGGATGTTTCTGACACCAAAAGACCAAGAAATTTAAGGTGATTCCTCTCAAACAAGTGGGCTGTGGACTCTGTCATGTCTCCAGCTAATCCACTGAAACACAGAGATGGAAAACTATCAGTCACATCATGTGAAGAACTGCTTTAATAGTGCATAATGAAATGGAATTTCTTACAGGATTTGGGAAAAGAAATTAGAGATTACTAGGACAGCTTATTTCCTTCTGTGCTAATATGACTCTGGTGACTCCCACGGGACTCCTGCCTGTCATCGACCTTAATTTAAGTCAACTCTTCAGCAAAGTCTGGGAGTACATATGAAAATTTTATAACTCTGCTGAAGTCTCAGTGGAGTTGATGAGATTTGGGCATTATCTTTGGGACCACAAATACTAAAATGGAAGCTGAATTGGCTTTCACTTGTTATCATTCGAAAGTGTTCCTGTTATTTATTTCCAATGTGGATTGCTTAATTAGAAACACAGGTGCATTCACCGGGCTGTATTTTGCTGCTCAACTTAAAAAGCCATTTTTAAACTACTGATACAGAGCAAAACAAATACTTGCTGTTTAATTGGTTTTACTAAGAGTAATTTTAAATTAGTAAATTTGGGGGGGAATTAATTAATTTTAATTGTACAATACAAATATCTATCTGTTAAGCAAGCACCCACAAAATTAATAGGGGAAAGCAATAAAGGTATTTTCAGTTATTAAACGTTACTAAAAGTGATGGAATGGACAGCTTCTGTGTCAGTTACTAATAATTGGCCATTATAAATAAGATTTTCCCTTCTTTTATATGATATTATTTTGGTTATTTGTTATGCAGACTAACAACTAAAATACTTTATTTATGACCGAGAGAGTAATTCTACTCCACCCAAGTCAAGCCTCCAATGTATTTCTCCAGGGTCAACACCTACACAGTTACAAATGCCCAGTAAAGTGGAGGTGAGCAGTGCTGCAGGCACGTGTCACAAACATTTTGTGCTCCACTTGGAAAAGCCCATCGTGGCCTATGAGAGCCTGTTCATCAGCACTTGGGAATCAGCTATTGGAATGCCCCAGTAGCTTTCCTTGAGCTCTTATGGTGGTGTTGGAGAACAAAAGTAGTTTTTATCATGCAGTTGCTTGCAGCTGATGATCACATATTATCAGCATCTGTGGTATTATCCCTGTTCTGTGCAGGACTCCTGGAGGATGCTGTTAAGCTGGTCCTTCAGCTCTCTCAGGTGAAACAGCCACATTTAAACCCTGATTCTGTGCACATTAGTTACTTCAGCAGATTCCCTGGAGTTTACTGCAGGAGAAAGGCAACCCAGATTTGGTCATTAAATTTAGATTCTTTCTGCTCATCTTATTTACACAGCCAAAAAAGGTATTTGTATCATTTTTCTTTTCAACGGATGGAACGAAATCAGCTGCATAACAAAGCGTCCTTGATCATGAACTATATAAACCAATGCATTTATTTGGAGTTCCAAATACACAAAAGGAATAAGACGGTGAGTGAAAAATAAACCTGCTAAAAAAGGAAGCATCCGATTTTCCAGGCGTAGTACACATCATATGCCTAAAATGGCTGGAGCAGTCTGAAAATATTTTTCCAAGGGACATATCCTGAGTCCCTCTGACAGATGTATCTTAATTGTTGACTGACTGAGGTTTTAGGTACCTGCATGGCAGGCAGTGAGCAGGGGCAGGAGGGTTCATTTCATGTAACTGCTTAATCTGTAATGGAAACCCTGCAGAGACACAGAGACCATCCAGTCTAATGTCTGCATTCCCCTCTTCCCAACAGCCATATATAAAATTTAACCTCCAAACAGCAATCCAAAACATGAAGTTAAACATGAGGATGGTCATATTTGAGACCAGAGGTTCATCTCAGGCAGAGTCCTCTCTTTTAGAGTGGTCCGACCACTGCTCCACTCATTATTTGCAAATTGAGGATTTTTTTTTAGCAAGAGGAGACTTTTATGGGTTTATTAATCCCTCACTGGGCTTCCTTTAGATGAGAAGATGCATTTCTGCCTCTTTGAGGCTACAGGAAGCAATAGGAACATTCTGGTGTCATTCTCCACGTTGAATCCAGGTTTTAAAGCTGAAAAAGACCTTTAGGACCACCAAGTCCAACTGTCAACCCAGCACTACCACCATGGTCACCACTAAACTATGTCCTTTAGAGCCATATCTACACGTTTTTTGAACAATTCCAGGAATGGTGACTCCACCTTTTCCTCTTCCAGGTCCTCCAGGTTTCTTCATCTCCAAGACTGCTCATTAATCAGATTGGCAGCAGCGGGTCTCTCATTTGCATACAAGTCTAGGGACAAAGGAGGTGGCCCTGTGTTCCAGGCACTGAGGGCAATGGAATCGACCTCACAAGGAAATGTTCTCTCCAGGAGATACGCAGCTTGAGAGGACTCTGCCTTTCCTCCCTGCACTGCAGGTGGGCATCCACAGCTCACAAGCTCAGACACCTCCCTCCCACCACAAGCCTGGCACCAGCTGGGCAGGGGGAAACCCTCACATTTTGGTGCCTGTGCCCTACAGTTTGTGCCGGTTTTATATGACACCACCAATGGCTACCAAAAAAAATCCCAATGCAAAACAAAGGATCCCAGTCCTGGCTCTCTGGCTAAGGGTCCAGAGCAATTTCAAAGGATGTAAGGAATTATCAAATGAATTTAGGTGCCTACCAGGTCAGGCAGTCCTGGGCAGCTGACTGGACTGGTTTGTAATCTGAGACCCTGGGCAGAATGGATTCAAGCCAATATTAATAATTGCTTTACTAGTGGTTAATTGAGGTTCTTTGTTTAGGATCTACAAATTATAATTTAGGGTCTGAGGCATCTGTCATTCCCTTCCACAAAAAATTAAAGCACCTGGATGACAGTATTGCTATTTTTCGGCTCCTGTTGAGACATACCAGTTTTGGGATCTTGGGGTTTGTAACATGCTGATTTTATGTAGTTCAGTGTTTTCCTTGTTTAATTTGGTCCTTTGGAAATGACTGGAACCACGGATATCCTCTGGATGACCACCTTTCACCAGGGGAATCATCCATCAGCAATACAACCAATTTTGCCTACATTAAAAAGGAGTATCAGAACTCTACACCAACATTTTTCCACTTTATTTGTGCAATAATGTAAAAGCCCAGACCAACTCAGAATTATGCAAAATACCAGGACACGAAGCATCTAATTACATTCTGACTTTACTGCTTCCCAACACCCTAAGTCAAAATAGGTGAACTATGAAGAAGATGAAATAATTGCAATCATTATCACATAAAATGTGAATGTACATGAATTTAGAGTGGTTTTGGGCTAAATCTATCTTTAGCTTAGCCCCATGGTATAAAGTCCCATCTATGCTAATAATTCCAAACCCCAGATCAGGGGAGTGCAGCAGAGCTTGATGAAAGCCAGATTTGGGGGGGTGGCTGGAGTATTTAATTCCTGTGGTGCATGAGAAACTACTCTGCCTAAGAAATAGAGGATATTATTCTGTTGATGTTACCTCTGGCAGAGCCTCATGGAAGACAAGTGGTAAAAAAGGAATCGACCTCTCAAGATCTGGGCCTTGCATTGCTGAATTTTCATGATTATACATCGAGATAGAGAACTTTAATTGCTTATATCTGTGCAAAATTTTATGAGATCTTCTACAACCCCGCAGTTCAATCCCTTTGCTCTTAAAATCACCTTCTTAAATAAATTTTTAAGAAAACCCTCAGCTCAGCTCTACTCTTTTATCCTTTATTTATGCTTTGTTTAAAATTATCAGAGTTGATAAGACTGAGCGGGGTTGCTTTGCACCTCTCAGAAGATGTGTGCACATTAAACATATTGGCAATATTTATTTATTCTGCCATCTGTCCCACCAGCTCCACGTTCTCAACAGTTTGGCCTAGAGAGGGCCAAAAATCACCTGAGCACCATAAAGCGAGTCCCCGGCTGTCAGCAGAACACATTGAGCCCACAGCTGCTGTCCTGCTGCCTGATTTAATGAGGTTCCTAAAGTCCGTGGACAAGGATTCGGGCTCCGGGTTGCCATGGCGATGGGAGCGGGCGCTGGGGGCGGGTGTGGGCAGCATCCCGATCAATAGGGATCAGCTCACGGCCCACCGGCCCCGCAGATGAATGGGAGCCCAGTCCTGCCACATGGACACACCGGAGCCCAGTCCTGCCACACGGACACGCCGGAGCCCAGTCCTGCCACACGGACACGCCGGAGCGCAGAGGTGGGAGAGCAGCTCTGCCCTGATGGCCAGGCTGGGCTCAGGACATGGGCCCTGTCCAAGGGGCAACGCTCTGCACTGAGATAAACGCCTTGCTTGTCGCTCTGTCTGTCTGTCCTCCTATTACTTTGCAGAGTGTTTCACATCCTCTGAACTCAGTCGCTTCCCTCAGGTCCTGGGAGAAACTCAGAATCATAGAACATGCTGAGTCGGAAGGGACCAAAAGGATCATTGTGTCCAACTCCTGGCTATACACAGGACACCCCAAGAATCCCACCTTGTAGCCCGAGAGTGTTGTCCAGACTTGGTCAATACTATGTTCCCAGGGGAAAAGGATCCTTCCATAGTTGACTCAGACATCATCACAGTCTACAATTTCCTCAGGAGGGGCAGAGAAGGGGCAGGTACTGATCTCTGCTCTGTGAGGACCAGGGAGAGGACCCCAGGGAATGGCCTGGAGTTGTGTCAGGACAGGTTTAGGTTGAATATTAGAAAAAGGTTCTTTCCCCAGAGGGTGGTTGGGCACTGAACAGGCTCCCCAGGGCAGTGGGCACAGCACCAAGGCTGACAGAGCTCAAAGAACGTTTGGATGATCCTCTCAGGCACGTGGTGTGACTCTGGGGATGGTCCTGTGCAGGGCTGAGGGTTGGACTTCATGATCCTTGTGGGGCCCTTCCAACTCAGCATCTTCTGTGAGTCTGTAATCTCTGAATATCCCATCACTTTTAGCAACATGTTACTACACTAGAGCAGTGTCTACATTTCTGAGGCCAAAGGCTTTTCTACTGAGTCAAGTCACCTGTTTTCAGAAGACAAATATTCGTGTGCAATCTGTGATTCATGTAGAAGTTTCCTCATCCAGAAAGAACTAAAAACCAGAGTAGCAATCCAGTGACAGGGAGAAAACACATCATGCCAAATAATTCAGGTTGGATTCCCACGCGCTTCCAGCACAGCACAGAGGGACAGATTTTTTTTCCACATATTTTAAAAACTAAAATATCATAAGTGTATTTTTCCTCCTGTGTAGAAGCATGAAAGGTGTCATTTTAGCTATTTACGTATATTCAGAGCATCAAACCTGAATGAAAGGTTGACTCAGAAAATCATACCCCCCAAAAAACCCAACAGTTAAACGTATTTTAATGATTAGTCCAAATCTCGGTTTACCACCTGATAGTCTTGCAAGATTATGCTTCAGATTCAAAGAAAGCAGATTTTTGCCCCTTTCCCACCCCTTCTGACAGGAGCATTCAGACATGATCTTCCAGCCTGGAATATTAAAGCCCAAACAGCACCATATCAGACGGATTAGTCACACATGTTTACATTGCATTGGCCATTCAACCCCGCTTGTCCTCAGATGGGTCTTAACAATACAGCAAACAGCTCCACTGTGTAACAACCAAAGTGGGTAATCAAGGCCTCTGAACAGAGGGGGAATTAAAGGGTTTGGAGTTTCTGTGAAAGCAGCAAAAGATGTCATCAAAGTTGGTGCAAACCAACATTTAAGGAAGCGTCACGTCAAGTCTCAAAAAATGGTATAAATATGTTGTAAGGGTAGATGAAAAAGCACAACAGTATGATGACAAAAATTTAATCCCTCTGAGATCACCTTAGAAAATAGGATCCACATTTCAAGCAAAGAAATTCCCCAAATAACCCATTCCTCTGCACACGAAAAAGCATCAATAATCAGACCTGTTCTCGACATGGCATTTTGTCACTCATCGAATCCTCTGTATCCCGAGAGTGAAAATAAATTCCAGAGGAATTCGCCTAGGGAGTAGGAATTTCCTTCTGTAGAAACCAATACTGTCATTTTTGTACAGTTCTGAGCAGATGTTACAGCTTAAGCTGCTCACCAAAACGAAGCCTTCAGTGCTAAGCCCTCAGGAGCTTGTAGCACCAGCGATGCAGCGTGGACAGCACGGCCCGTGTCACTCTGTGGGATGTCACTCATCCAGGTTGGGACTGGTGCAAACACAGCAAACAAACACAGCCCACACACTTCTGTTTACAGCTGGTGATTTATTTCATGCCATTTACCACAGTGAGAGGTTTCATCGGGGATCTCTGACAGACTGGATTTCCTCATCAAAATGGTACCATCTTCAAACATAGAGTGTTGTTTTCCAAAATTTCCTTGTCCAGTTTTCCCGTGGCAGATAGAGAGGCCAATGGATATCTACAACTTGTAGGATTGCTTCTGTGTCAGTTTAAGGAATTTGTGAGCTTGAACCAGTTCAAAACATGCTGATCTACAAAACAAAATCCATAGCTCTGCTGGTGCTCACTGCCAGTCCTGGTCAGTCCTACCAGTTGTAGTAAGAGGACACTTAAGGGCAAAGGCACATGCAAAATCTCTCCAGGAGTGAAGCATTTCAACCCTGCATCACAAAGACACATCTCATCTTGGCAACCTGTTCCTGGCAAGAGGCTACTTCTGGCATGACATTTCATTTAGTACTTTTCAATCAGATTGGGTTTTATGGCATCTTTGTAACATCTTTGGTTCCCTTTGAGTCGTTGGACTGGATTAAGCTTGAAAAAAGAATCTACAGTTCACTTGGAAATGGAGCTGAGGGCTGGTAACATCTTACCCTGTGACCACATGGGCTTCAGTGGCTGGTCATGAAATGTTGCAGTTCATGCAAAACATCATCCCACTGTTTGCACAGAACCTGGCCCCACCAAGCAAAATCTAGACTAAAAGATCAGTACCAATCTCTGCACTTGACCAGATATTCATACTACTCCAACTGCCCAATTTAACAAAATTGTGTTTACTTTACCTGACAGCTGTGTAGTATTTCCATGATGGCCAATCCTCATTTAAACAAGAAATAAAACTAATGGCACTGCCCTTGCCATTGCAAAGGCAAAAAAGTCTGTTGTTGAACTTGGTTCAAGGTTCAGAACACACCTGAAGGAAAAGGTAGCACTAACAAAAACTGGCTCAGCTGCCCAAGGGCAGGCAAATGAACAATTGCAATGTTGTCTGAGACATTCAGTTTACTACAGGAGCAGATGGATGGGTGGAAAAGCATCGACTGATCTTCTCATTGCTTTTCTATATTGCACTATGAGTCTTTCCTTTCACCAGGAGCCTCTCACGTGGGTTGAACTTCTCAGACCGACCAGCCCGAGCATCCACTGGGATGGCAGCAGAAACTTCCTGTAAAGGGGAACTGGGATAAAAGAGTTAATCAAAGCCTTCCCTGAAAACCTAAGGCTGGTGCCTCCACTGCCACCACCAGATAAACTTGAAAGTGTAATCCTACTCAGTTATTTCTGCAGTGCTATTTCCACACAAAGCATTTCTCTAAAGCTGAGAGGTCCAGAAAACTCTGACTTGGGATTACTTTTTTTTTATTCCTATTTTACAAAATATACAGAAACTTTAAAATAAAATTTAAGTCTATCAGATTGAGGTTGTTCTCACAATATACAGACTCCGGATTTGTTGTTGTAAGAGAGAGCTCGGTTCCATCTTCTGCACAAAGACACAATTCTGACTTCTCTCCCAGCTTGGATATTAAAAGTTAACTTCAAATCCCTTCATGAAATGGATGTTTATTCTGGGGGTTTTTATGTGCAGTTTTTGGCATAGTGTGATTTGGTTTATACTTACTTTTCCCCACCATAGCTATAATCTCCTCTTTCAGGATAGTGAAGCGTTCTCTAATTGGCTTTTATTTTGCTTCATACACTCTTTGCACCTCATAACAGAGCTCTGAAGAGCTCTCATTCTGCTGAAAAAGTTCCTGTGGAGGCTGTGCTTGCTATAAAGTAAGATGGAATCAGTTAAGTGAGACGATTCTCCGAGCACACATCACCAACATCAGTCTCCACGAGCCTGTATCTCAGGGAAGCATCAGTCCATAATAAGTCCATATACAACAGGGAGTGATGCCATCAGAGCGTGTCCTACTGAAACACTTGTTCTTATGAAGTCCATGAATATTGCTTTTAAGTGTAAAAAAAGTAATCTATTCTAGAAAGACACTTATGAACAGAAAGGGGGAAAGAATACTCTCTGATCTCTTGAGCCGAGCTCTCAAGACATCAATGACTATGCACTCATTTATAATCTCCACTAATTTACTGGCTGCCCTAGAGACACACTTTGATCTTTGGGAAGATCTACTGTATCTCTCTGCTTTGCAACAGGCAATAAAAACTGTAACCCCTTATAATAAAGTGGTCTAAATAATGTAGTCATACCATCTAGCCCCCAATTCATCAAGGAAGATGCCACCTTCCACCCTACATTCATGGCATAAATATTCATCACCAGCGTGGGAAGGCTTGGCTGTGTACAACAAGTTTTGTAGGAGATGTCCTTTCTCTGCAAACACATGTGCTGTGTGAAAGTCTATATAATTAATGCCAAGGATCAGTGCTACAAAAAACAAAACCAGAAAACTCAAATAAAACTCAGAAAAAAAGCAAGGCCCCAAAGCTGACAGACATTTTTTAATATTTTGGTCTAAATAATGAATAAGGCTCCTAAGCAAACACTCTTAGGATTAGCCAAGATTATGAATGTTTCAATACTGTAAAACAATAAAAATCAAAGCCAAATATAACAGCATTATTTAGCATATGTTACAGATAGAGGAAGGATAATAAAGTAATTTGAAGAGCTAAAAGTCACCCATTATAGTTTCTGAATTTGTAGATCCTTTGTACAGCTGTTGGGGCTGCAGGAAATCCCACGGGAAGCATTTTTCTTAATTGTGTATCTAAATTTCATTTTACTGGAAT